TGGAACCTCCTTTATGTGTGGTTTCCAATTAAATAATAGGAGTTTATACTATACTTGTTTGACATACCATTAGTGGAATCTCTAACCTTGACATTTGTTATTATCATTGTTTAATCCTTATATTAATATTTCATCTCAAAGTTTTCATCTTCTTCTTTTCCTTTTCCTTTTTTTTCTTTATTATTATCATCATTGTTGTTATTGTTGTTGTTGTTGTATTATTGTTATCTATAGTTTATACAATTAACCTCCTTGTGGTTCGACCCTGGTTTTGCCGAGTTATCTATTACTTTGATACTCATGCACTTAGAAGAAGATATCAATCTTTTAGTCGTATCAGAATTCTTCTCAAAATGTCTAACCCATTAACAAATAAATAACCCTTTTTTTATTATCAAAATATTGGCAATCAATTTTTTTCTTTCTTCAATAATTTTTTATATATATTTTTTTAATTTATGAACTAATAAATAAATAAAATTAGCTTTTGTACCAAATCTAAAATCCCAAAATCTATAAGGACTGTAAAGGAAGAATAACTAAAAAGCACTTTTCTTGCAAATTTGATAATACCCAGCGGTTTTCCTTGTTTTAGAGTTTGGTTTTCTATCTTTTAATTTTGTTTTCTACTATAAATCCAAATAATCTCTCATTAAATTGGTTTTAAAAAAAATTGAAGGTGCATTTTGTTTTTAAAGGTATTATGGATAAACACGGTAAAAAAGATTTCAGTTTTAGTATATTTGCAATCGCAATCAAGAGCAAAAGCTCTGCATCTCTTTTCAAAGCAACCTCAAGCAGGCTGATGCCAAGTGGGCATGAGCACTCAGAGGATTTAGAGCAAAGCCGAAGGTTAGTCATTTTGCCTTACTTAATAGCAACAAGAATAGAACTCCATACTCGTTTTCCAACTTATTGGGTTACCTTTGCAGGGAAAAAGGTGAGAAAAAAAAAGCATTAACGAGTAGATTCAAACAAATATGAAGGTGCAGGCTGCAATAGAACTTGCTGTGGGCTTCCGGAATTATTGATCTAAAATCTATACGGGCCAAGATAGTTGGATCCATCAGATGCCGATTTCAAGTACGGCATGTAAGCTGGGCTGGGCCTGCGCTGGTTAGCTTGGAGTAAAGGACGCCCATCATTCATGTCAAGATAGTTAGGATGTGCCGACATCTAAATCAACTGCTTCATTCTCTTCGCACGTGGATTGAATTGACTCTTACTTTAATGATATTAAATGATGCTGATAAAACACCAATAATTTGAGATGTCACAACCTTGATTTGTCGATAAATCTATGGATCTGTCACTCCGCATGATTTTGTGTTTCCACTAGCTACACCGATACTTGCGTTAATCATCAAAATTTGGAGTATGCTTGAAGTGGAAATTATTTCTTGAAGTTTTTTTTTAATGCACAAAATAATATTTTTTAAATTTTTATTAATACCAAAACAATAAAAAAAAAACACTAAAAATATATTAATTTAAAATTCAAAAATACAATTAAACCGTATCAAATATCAAATTCATGCAATGACTGATGAGACAAAGAATTCGATCAGGAAGCACAGATGTTTCGTCGAGATCTGGGAAACGAATGCTTTAATGTGGATATTTAATTTTCTTCAATGTACACGACCATGTGTCCCGATGGCATGAAATTCTCAAGATTCTTTTCTTGTGTGAATGGTAGAGGAAATAATGACTTACAAAAATATCCAGGCCAATTGGACGATTTTTACTTGCAAGGCAACATAGACAACCCGAAGTCTCGGCCACTTCTCTCTGCAAGAAATTGAAGTCCCAGGAGCGTAGCAATATACTCCAACCTACGTATTCCACAAACAATCCTTGCAGGAACGCTTAATATTCTCACCCCCTAGTATCTTTACAAGGGCAAAAAATTAGACGAGAGAGATTCGGTATTTCGGCAGAGTAATGAATCAGAACCGGAAGAAGACGTATCTAAAAGTAAAATTTAACTAATTAAAGCTAATATGTTCTCCGGATAAACACAGCATCCCCTGGAAGATTTACAACACCACCAAAATTGTTCTTCTATTTCTACCCCTTTAAAGAATTCTTCAAAAAAAAAAAAGAGAAAGAAAAGGGTTGGCTGGCTCTCATTTGATTGGAAATTAAGCAACTCAAAAAACCCAGGTGTGGGAACTGAGTTCGTGTCTGGGTAAGCGTCATTGGATTGCTGTTGCCAACTTCAAAGACTAACAAGCTCCAACATGCTAAAAATAACATTAATATGCACAGTACTTAAGCCTCCGTCGGTGGATGGCTCACTAGAATATTGAGTCCAGGTACAAATTGTAATGCCTCCTGTTGAACTCTAACAAGCTACCATAAGTACGGTCGGCAACACCAACAAAAAGAGCTTCAGTATCGGGGCTGAAAGAAATGCCAGCAATCTCCCCAAATAGATCAATCTCCTGGCATTTGAGGTAATCAGATTGTGTATCAAAAACATGGACGAAATCCGCAGGCTCAGCCATAGCCAAAAACTTGCCATCTGAGGTGAACTTTAGAGCTCTTATTGCTCCCATATTCCCTTTTAATACTGCGAAGGACTGGGACAGATTCCTTATATCCCACAGCCTGCATGTAGTGTCTTGGTTTCCAGTGGCCAAAATTAGCCCGTCAGGGTGCCAGGCTGATGAAAAGGAATAATCCAAATGCCCTTTGAGGCTTCCAGTCACTTTCCCAGAATTAGCATCAGCAATCAAGCATTCAGCACTGTCCCCAAGCACTGCAAGCAGCTTACCATCTGGGCTAACAGAGGTGTTCTGGGGAACAGTTTTCAGATGTGTAAACATGTTATAAATATGACAACAGTACAGAATTATGAACTCTCGGGGAAGTTTCTGGTGAAAGGCACTCACATTTACAGACCAATCGAAGGAGAAACAATTTAGGGAAGCAAAAGTTTCGGCATCAAATACTCTAACTTGCGCATCGTTGTTCGCGGCCATAATCCTCATTGAGCCACTGCAACAACAAAAAAAACAAGATGACTCAAGTTGTCTGTCTCCTGAGGGAAAGAAAAAGGAACTCAAAAATTTTCTATTAACAAGTTCCTTACTTGTGGTTACAGTATACATCCACTGCATTGGTTATGGCATTTTCACCTGTTGTTATCTTTGAGCAGAATGCAACTCCAGGTTGATCCAAACACTGACCACATGAAACAACCGATCAGAAGACAAGCTAGATATTGAATATTAAGTTAAATGTTCAAAAGAAGCAGCTATACTTATTTAGCCACTTTGATACCTTGCAAATAAGTTCTCCCTGGAAACCACCTGCCACCATTAAGTTCTCTTTGACAGCCATGGTGCTTATCTGCACTCTGGAGAGTGACTGAGACAACAATCCTGGGCGTTGCTGTAGAACAGAAGGGAAAATACTTCAGTCATGAATTAAGTGCAAAATTAAATGATGATAGTCATGTTCACCCTGGACCCCAAATAACATACCTGGGTTGGAGCAACTGGCTTGGCCACATTGAGTACTTCTTTGCCTCGCCGCAGTAGTGATGACCAATGCATAACTGAGTAATTTTGCATGAGATAAACATCATGCTTTGATGTTGCCCACAGCAGATTCCTCAGCTGCACAATGCAAATACAAACAGAAGAGAAGGACATCAATAACAAAATTCAGAAGTCCTCCAATTAGAATTTCAAAACTATTGAAGATAAAAATAACAAATTCAAGAGCTAAAATTGAAGCAGGTCTTTCAAACATTAAGAATTGAACAAAAATTATGCTACATACACATAGTTTCTCAATATGCACCATTAGGAATAATTAGGGCACAGGATGAGGCTTATATGGTACAATAATCATATGCAGTTTCAAAATGAGGCTTCTGTAGTGAAGTAGGTGTGGAAACAAGCATATAGCAAGCACATGATGAAATCGCCATGTAGATGCATGAGCAGTAAATTACAGGAAAAGAGCATGGGACTAAATAAACACGAGGGAAATGTCCAAGCTACTCAAAAGGCTCAGAATGCATCTGACAGATGTAACAGAATTTCCACATGCAGAAATGCAAATTTTGTGTTAATTTGGCCCCTCGAGCTTGACACAGGGTAGATAAACTACAGGAATTGAGGCCTCTTTAAATGCTCAGATATTTTCCTATCATACCATACCATATAAACAACGAATCTTTAACTGCACCAGCTGCTCAGATAGAACTTCCACCCTGCTTAAAAGGCTGAAATAAGGAGATGACAGTCCTAAATGGCACAGATTGGTTAAGCCAAATAATATATTCAACAATCAAAGGAAAGAACATACAAACGATGAAATATTGCAATGCCTGAACATGAAACATAGTTCAACAATCAACTGACAGAACAGACAAACTATTGAGATATTGCAATGCATGAACATGAAACATAGGTCAAGAGACCATAGAACACAGACAAGTATCACAGTAAGTACCAAGTAGCATGTGCTATGAAGGTCTCAGCCAACAATGCATAGCTAGAACATCCAGGAGATAGATGGTCAAAAGGAAGCATGAATGAAAATACCAAAACATTAATCCATTACAATTAAGTTCCACAGTTTAATGCTCTCTACAAAAGTTTTCAGCCGTTGCAAAGTAAATATACAATACTAATGTGAGTTCAGCTTAGTTTTGAAATAGTTACCACTGGAATCATTAAAACAATTCTTTGATGATATTGTTAACATGGTAATGCACAATTGTTTGATGATATGTGTGTTGATGGAAGTATCTGCATGATTGCAGATGCATTTATAATGTGTACGCTACTAAGTGTGCATCTATGGTGTAAGAAAGTCACGTGCACACTCAACTTTGTTTGTTATTTGAAGCATGCATTTATTCAGTAATCACATATGATCAGGAATTCCATTTCACACCATAATTGCCATGCATCCATATCTAATTGATTGCTACTGCATACAACTATCAGGCACGCCTTCAAGATTGTACCTATTTAAAATTGATATTTCAATTTTATTAAAATTTGAGAAACTGCTATCCAGTGCATGAACAAAGTAAGCATCCTTCAAAAATCTGCAGCAAAACCATTAGTTAATACGAACCCCAGTTCTATGCTGTTTAGCTGGGGAGCATTCAAATATTTCACAAAAGCTAATGGTGAGCTAAAAAGAGAGGAAATTTCTCTCAGATCAATTTCCAAGAAATATGCTTTAAAATCCAGGAAAGATTTAATCACCAGCTCGTAGGCCTGCAGAGGAATTGGTAGATGGCCTCAATGGATGATAATTTAAGCTGGAAAACTTTTGTCAGTTGTTCATAAGTCGATTACATCCCAAATAATTAGAGAAATGTTGAACCTAGCATAAAGTTGATCAATTTTGAACTCCATACCTCTGACAAGTTCAGGCACAGAGCTATAATCGCATTTAAAGATGTCCATAAAGGATATAATATAATCACAAAACCTGCAAAACTATAATGATTTTGCATGATCGATGTGTAGACCATCTGTTAGGAGATCAATTTAAATATGCAGAGGCAATTTGTATTTGCTCTTCAGCAAATGCATTAAGCATGGATCCCATGATGTGCAGCAGTTTATTGAGATTTTAAGATATGAGACATGAAGGGCTTTGTGCAACGAGAACATGAAGTACTTATGCATCAAGACATTTGACCATAAATAAATAAATAAAAATGCACTTGTATGAAATAATAATTACAATGAAGAACTCCAATTTAAATAAGTTTTTAGAGCAAAACATGAGAAATTCAGTGCTAAAACGATGTGAAGCATGCGCCAAAAAGATGGTAATTATTTTTTTTGTTGATGAAACATGAAATCATTTAAACAGGTGAGTGTAAAGAGAAGAGGTCTCTACCTGAAAATGAACAATTGTGGATTTGACAAGCCTTGTGTTGAACTCAAAGTCATAGAAAGCCTTTCCCTTCTCAACTTCCAAGCATTCCTGTCAAAGAAATATACTAATCAGCAATAATCGAATCAATTTTCTCTACAAGTTTCTTTAATCAAGAACATAAAAACAAAAGATATAAATCTTCCATTCAAAAACTAATCAAGTATTTAAAATCACAATAAAATTTGATAAACCTTGTGAAGCTCGAAGCGAGGGCGAGAGAGGTTCTCGTAATTCTTATACTGCTTTAAACGCGTCTCACGATACTTATCTCTAGTGAAATTAAGCCTCTCCCAGGGGATTCCCTGTATATCTTTGCCATTTCTTGCCTCTAAAGCAGACGTATCAGTCTTCGGCTTACTCTGCAACACCATACCACCATCACTCGCCATTAATTTCTTCCATCACCACAAAAAAACAAAACAAAAAACAAAAAAAATTCACTCGTAACGTACCGACTCAAAGTCATCTTCAAAATCAGAATTCATAGCATCATCAGAATCGTCGTTTCTTTGAGGTTCATCTTCGCTGAAAAAATCGTCTTCAAAAGGATCGTTAACTATGTACTCGAGATCGTTGTTGTGTAAGTGATCCATTATCCTACCATACCAAAAACAGTAATTCAATCGCTCAGTAAATAAATAAATTGAAATGGAAAAAAAAACTAAAAAAAAGAAGGAGGTGATTAAGGACCTAATTAATTACACTTAGTAATTCACCATAACCTTTTATAAGAAATATAAAAGTTGGACTCCGACAATCTTGCAATTCAGTATAAATAACTGGTTATAAATGACGTATGGATGAAGCAGGACTCACAAAAATTGAGAAAACAAAGAAAGGATAACAAATTACAGTGAATGAAGGAGATTCTCATCGTTTCGTTGATCAAGTACGCAAAAACAAGAAGCAAAATAGTCAAAATGAAAAATTACCTCCGAATTGTGGTAGATCTTAAAAGAGAGAGAGGCTTGGAAGCGAAAGTCCAAACGAAACGGAGAACGTATATTAAAGCAATCCTCTTAACTTTCAGAGGAACCGAACAGAAAAATAACAGGAGGGGGAGATTCCAGGTTTGGAGTCAAGAATCTTGAGAAAAAGATGGCGTTAGATTTGGGATTCCTAGACAGAGAGGTGTGAGTGTTTTTAGCTTAGTCAAGAACAAAAAAACGGTTTCTGTTTGAAGCAAGAAAGAAACAAGGAAGTATGTAACTGCCAAAACCTACGACGGACGGCGAGCCCTCACTTGCTACTTGTAATGGTGATTTCAGTGATAGAGAGTGAATTGTTGACCCAGTTGATTAATAAAAAAAAGAAAAGAAATGGAGGCATCGGTGGCCTACAGTAGGACCCGTTTGCGGGCTCCACTTAACCGTCCATTTTAATTTGCCTATTTCAAAAGTTAAGAATAAAATAAAAATATATATTATTTTAATTAAAAAGTAATTTTAAATTATTTCAAAAGTTAAGAATAAAATAAAAAAAATATTATTTTAATTAAAAAGTAATTTTAAAAAGTACTGATTTTAATTCTTGATTTTTCTGGATAAAAATCTCCCAAATATCTAGTGAGGGGCTGTAATCACTAAATTCCAAACAGACAGCTGTTGTATCCTTTTAGCCATGAGCTTACCTAACCACCCTTCATTTTTCATTACAGGAAAATTTAAAAAGTAAGTAAAACTCTTTTATTTATACAATTTAGTCCCAATAAATGAGTTAATTTTTCAGTACTCATGATAATCTTAAGCGTGTGGAAAAAAATCATATCGGCATGGGAGAAAAATCTAATTATAAAAAGTAAACCCAACGTTAATCTAAACTTGTAATTCCCTAATGCAAGTGGAATTGAATCCAGCACTGATTTGAGTTCTGAAAGTGGACCCGGCAGATGACAGTCATAATTAACAAATAGCGAGTGAACACATGTCCAAACCACAAAATCAAAGTTGGCTCAGCGGCTGCTCCAATGTCCATTATCTAGTATATGGAGAGTCCACGTGTTTGGCTCACATCACGAGTTGGAAAATCATGGCAGCACCAGGTTCCACCACGTGGCTACCTCAGCTGACGGGTCCTTTCTTGCTTGCCTTGGTTTTGCCGTCAATATGACTTATCGGGCGCCGTCCTTTTTAATCCCAAATAGTTAGTTTAACCATGGTTAGTTGAATTTAACACTGGTTAATTAATACTTTTTCAATCTAAAAACATTTAAAAACACAAGTTGTGTGAGACATTTTTTTTCTCGATAGACATTGATTTCAGTCGGCGTACGGGCCCATTAAAAAGCCTTAAACAGGGACTTGGCTCCTGCAGTCTCATTTGGTGATAGTGAAGGGTCTTTTGTTGGGAAAAATAGTTTTGACTGGGTATTTATATATTATTTAAAATTAGAATAAATTATTCTGAGTATCTATAATTTAATTAATTTATTTATTTTCTAACTAAATTTTTGAATATTATACCTTGCATCTTTTGGAGTTTGCAATAAAAGAATGTTAACAAAAAAAATATTTATATACAAACTATTACAACAAGTCAAGAGCCTATTTTAAAAAAAAAACACAATTTTATGTAAATAAAAAATATATATAATAAACAAAAAGAAAAGAATCAGAAAACCTTGTCGCTGATATCTTACATCTTCTCCGCCTCTCTCTCTCTTACACAATTGTTGGCCCACTAGCCCAGCTCTCCTCACAATAAACAACCACAATTATCTCAGTCTTTAGGGTGTATGAAAATATTAGTTATGGTTATTTTTTAAATTATTTTTATGTAAAAATATATTAAAAAATATATTTTTATTTAAAAAAATATTTTTAACATCAATATATTAAATAAATTTAAAAAATTAAAGAATATATTAATTTGAAACAAAAAAATAAAAAAAAAATCAATGTTTTCTAAAACATTTTTTAACACAAAAAAAATAAATAGGTATGAATTCATCTTTCTCTCTCAATTAACAACCATGAGGCCCATAGCATCATCTCCATTCTCCCTCAGCACCCAATGTAAAAAAAAATGACTAAATACATGTTTATTTCCCAACTACCACCAACCAAAAAAAACTCTTATGGAGTCCCTCGTCTCTTGGATACTACCCAAAATAACCCTCATTGTAAATCTTTTATCTTTAGAATTTATAAAAAGAACGATGATTATTTGGGAAATATTTACTTACTCTGGGGCGGAGTGAGAAAAAAAATTAAGAGGGGCCAAATTAAAAGAATTATTTTGAAAGGGCTAAAATTTCAGTTATTTTACTACTGAAATTATAAACACTAACAAGGAAGAAAGGACTGTAAAAAACATTTTCTTGCGGGGCCGGGCCCTGCCAACCCCCACCTCCGCCATTGGATATACGTGTATACAAAGTTTTAAGAGTATACAAAAGAGTGGGATATTAACGTATGTATAAAGTTCTAGCTGTCAATACTAAAAAAAAAGAAAAGAAATAAAATAACCATGTCATGTATAAATGGCACGAAAAAAAACACATAAAAATAGAGAGAACTTTGTTCTAGCTGTCAATACTAAAAAAAAAAAAAAAAAACCATGTCATGTATAAATGGCACAAAAAAAAAACACATAAAAATAGAGAGAACTTCATTCACGCATTTTCTCAAGCACCTTACCTCCGAACAAATAGATTTGGAAGATCAAGGTTTGTGTTAAACTACTAGTTAGAGAAATGAAGGAAGAAGAGGTCCCTAACAAAAGAGAAGAGATATAATTAGAAGGAGAAAAGAGACTTGCATGGATGTTATTTGCATGATAGCTTGAGGACTATATACTTAAACAAATTTCACTTTAAAATAAACTTCAATTTGACTACGCGAAACAAGTTGCACTAAGATTGTTTGAATCTATTGACAAACAGTATAGCTTTAAGAAAAAATAATATAATTTTTCATGTCTTGTTTTTTATTCTAAATTCTAAAAGTCTACAAGTAAGTACTTTATATATTTGTACTTATATTTTTTTATATTTTGCTCATAATTTTATATTATCATGCAAATATATAATTGATTTTTACTTGACAATTTCCCAACAATCTGAAGGCTAAATCTTTTTACCTTAATTGTTTAGTTTATTTATATATTTTCTTGCGTAAACTTTCACTAGTTAATTAATTTGATTGCTTAAAATAGTCAAATTTCTATTATTGTGATAGAAAATTATGAACTCTACTAAAAGTCGGCAAATGCTGCTACAACAAACACTATTTTATTAGAGAGGATTTAACTATTATTTTTTATAATGTAGGGTGAAAAACCTAAAAATGAAACTATTAAAATTTTAAAAGATAAAAATAAAAAATATTATTCTTTTATCACTTTGAACTTGATACAATTTTTAATTAAAGATGCGAAAAGCTATTAGATGAAGAATCTAATCCTATTATAAGGGAAGCTATGGATGCATGGACACTTCTTGGTTTTGTGTGAAAAAACGAGACCTTGAATGAATTAAAAATATATACTAAATATAAGTATAGTTTAATTAATAGTGCATATATACCACCGTGTGAGACTTTGGATAAGCATTACAATGCTGAAGTCAATTTTTTGTGCTTGATCTTTTAATTTATTTCATTGCCTCGCATTCATGCAGGGCCTCCTACCAAGGACTGTAAACTCTCCTATCTTCCCTTATTTTTTTATTTGTATCAATCAATAGTGCAAACGGCAATTGAGAAGTCATTGGTGTATAGTGTAGGGATAAGGATTTTGGTTTTGGAAAGCTGGTGTCCAAAATGCCCTGGTGCATTAGTGATGTCTATCCTGGGATAGGTCGGTTGAGTGATGTTTTTTTTATTTTAAAAAAAAAGTAAGAATATCTATAAAATGATATTGTTTTGAGGCCTGAGATTTTTCACTATTTCGGTCTCATTTCCCATCAAAATATAATGTAGGTAGCGAGATAAATTTGCAAACATGTCAAGCACCAAATGAGACATATCCATCAGCCTGTATTACGACTCTTGGAATTACAAAAAAGGTTTTTATTTCCTCTCACTCTTAATTAATTACTATTATTATTATTATTAGAATATTAATTGATAAATAATTAATTACTATTATTATTATTAGAATATTAATTGATAATGATGAGATATATTATTTTTGTTGTTTTTATGTTATAAAAATATTTTAAAAAAATTTATAATTTATAATTTTTTATTTAAATTAATATTTTTAACGTTTTCAGATCATTAATATCAAAAAGATTTTAAAAAATAACCATAATTATATCTTGAAACATATTAGTCTTATCTTATATTAAATGAAGAGTAAAAGATACAACTTAACGTAAACATAACAGGAAAATAGAGATATCAATCCCATGATTGACTGACTCTCTCACTTGTTAAGATTTTTTCTAAAAATATAGACAATATTAAATAAAAACAACTTCTTATGAGAACAACAACAAACTACTTAGCACAGTAGTGGATAGTTTCTTGAAGAATAGCGCAACAACAAATTCCTTTATGCAGAACATCACAACCATCGAGTTTATTCCTAGCAAAACTACTGGTATTAGGTTCAAAGGCTTGCCTCATAACCTAATAAAGGTCGGACTAATTTATAAACATGTGTTCAGAGAATGGAGGAAAATGAAAACCACGTAATAAGCTTTGAACGTACCTATAAATCAAGGAATGTATCTTGGTTTAGAATTTCTACATCGTTTGTTTGATATAATGAATAATATTTGATTGAATATCGTTTGATATAATGAATAATATTTGATTGAATTAAACTAAATTAGACATGATTGGATAAATAATTATCTTATTATATGTTTAGTGTGCTTTGAATTGAATTGGACTCTTTGTTTTATTTTGTGTTCACTAGACACTAAATGAGATTCAATGGATTCAAGATCTAGATTTTTTCGAGTTTTAAAAAAATAGAAGAAAAGTTTATTAACCTGTAACCCGGTTAATCCTAAATAAAATACAAGTAAAAAATCCATTAACTTTTTATATATATATATATTATCAAAATAAGGTTATTTTGATTTTTTTTAATATATATATTATCAAAATAAGGTTGTTTTGATTTTTTTTAAATCTGATTCAACCTGGGTTGACCATCTTAAGTCATGACTCGGGCTTTATTCTAAATCGATTCCTGAATCATATTTTAAAAATATAACAATAATTATTTTTATTCTTAAGTTATTTTAGATCAATCCGGACTGACTATCTTGACCCATGGTCTAGCCTTTCCCCAAGTCAACCTTTTAGATGGGTTTTAAGACTATAACAACAACAACAACAACAATAATAATTCTTATGTTAACTCGAGTCAATAGTCAACTTGACTCATGACCCAAATCTGGCCCTAGATCAACTCCTGAGTCGAGTTTTAAAAATATGATAATAATTATTTTTATCCTTATATTGACTCGAATCAATGGTCAACTCGAGCTTGACCCTTGGTCGACTCTCAAATCATGTTTTAATACCATGATAATAATCATTTTATCTTTACATTGACCTAAGTCAATGGTCAACCCAACCTTGTGACTTGAGCTTGGTCTTAGGTCGACTCCTGATTCAAGTTTAAAAACTATAATAATAATTATTTTTTCTTATATTGATCCGAATTAATGTTCAACCCTACTTGTGACCTGAGCCTCGTTCTAAGTCGAACCCCAAGTCAGATTTTAAACTATGATAATAACCATTTTTATTCTTATATTGACTCGAGTCCATGTTCAACTCTACTCGTGATCCAATCCTGGCCTCGAGTTGACCACGGAGTCAAGTTTCAAAAGTATGATGATAATCATTTTTATCCTTATGTTAACCCAAATAAATTGTCCTAGCTCGCGATTCGAGCTTGGTCCTGGGTGGACCCCCGAGTCGAGTTTTACAATTATAATAATAATTATTTTTATTCTTATGTTGATTCGGGTCAATAATCAACTAAACCTGTGACCTAGGTTTGGTTTCAATTTGACCCCTCAAGTCAGGTTTTAAAACTATAATAATAACTTTTTTTATCTTTATGTTGATCCAGATCAATAATCAACCTAATCCATGACCCAGGTTTTGCCACAAGTTGATCACTAATTGAGTTTTAAAATTATAATAACAACCATTTTTATTTTTTTATTGAACTAAATTAACTAGATTAATTTTTATATAAATAATTGGATAAACTTGTCCTACCAAAACTCTAACAAATTTGAATAGAATAAAAATTATTTATTTTATTATACAAAAATACACCAAATAACTTTTAAAAAGAATTATAATGTTCGGTTTCAATATACCAAATACTACGTGATGAAATGAATGAAGCGTGTGAGTAAATGGTTAACTGTAAAAGAAAACGGATCAAAATAAAACACTTTTTCTACAAATGGGCCAAATCCATTAAAAAAGCTTGAGCCCTGAACCCATTACAATTTAGTGTCCGTATACCTGTCTGATCGGTCTTGTGAATCAAAATGTGAAATATAGATCATATATTATCAATAACACATCGCATAATATTATTTTAAAAAATAATAAGTCTTAATTCTCATTGTTTTATTTTTGTTTTCACCTCTTCCAAATTTCCAACTGGAATTTTTTTTTTATCAATTTTCCATACCCATACCCTTTTCTTATTTGTTTTAGTCTACAAATAATAATATCATTTCTTTTGTAATGACAATTACTAAAGAAAAATAAATTATGATATTATTTTTATTTAAAATAGTTCTCATATAAAATAAATGATTTATCATTATACAATTGCATTAGTTAATATCATTGAGAAAAAATAGATAATCAATAAAAAAATGTATTGAAATAAATTTCTATTTGTTTACTTGTTAAAGTATTTTAGCTCTAACTTGTAAAATTAAAATGATATTTTTATTATTCTTATTTTTTTAAAAATATAAATTTAATTTCAAAACTATATTTTCTGGCTAGTTGTATCCAAATTAAAATGATGTTTTAATTATTATTATTATTTAAAAAATAAAAAATTTAATATCAAAATTATCCGTACTGACTAGGCATATTCCATATATATAG